AGTTTTTATCATGAATGGATGTTGAATTTTGTCGAATGCTTTTTCAGAATCTATGGAGATGATCATGTGGTTTTTGTCTTTCTTTTTGTTGATGTGGTGGATGATGTTGATGGATTTTTGAATGTTGTACCATCCTTGCATCCCTGGGATGAATCCCACTTGGTCATGGTGTATGATCCTTTTGATGTATTTTTGAATTCAGTTTGCTAATATTTTGTTGAGTAAGAGATCTCCTTATTTACTTTTTTCCTATCAGTGATAATCTACCATTTACTGAATGCTTTTTATGTGCTTTTCATAGACTGTTATTTTATCTTTATAATACCAGGTCAGATAGATACTATTATTCTCATTATCTTCATTTTAAGGTTGAGGAAATTGTGGTTTAAAAATGTTAACTAAGGTCACAGGAGTGGTTCCAGGCCATGAAAGATAGAAATTTCTCTAGAAAATAATGTGCCCTTAATTTAAAAAAAAAAAAGTCATTCAAGGATGGAGATGCACATAGTTGAAACATCAAATGGTTCTGCAAAGGTTATTATAAAACTCACCAATGCCTTCCCACTTCTGTCTCCATTTACCTTCTGTGGCATTAAACACTCCAACTTGTTCGACTTTTCCTTTCTTATTTTCCTCTACTTAATTTTTCAGTTTTAGGTATTATCCAATAATTTCTTACCATGGAAGACTGTCCACCTCCACCAAATACATGTGGCCTCCTACCCACATACCTGCATCCTCCAAGTACAGTTAAATCGTACTTTTGATTCTATCCATACCCAGTATTTACATTCTTTTAACTGTATGAATGGTATTCACATGTGAGCTGTGTAGTATATCATGATTATATTTCTTGTGCACCTGTTGTCCTGGAGTTCATAATTATCTCATGTTTTGGTTTGCTTCGTTCTATCTATTACTCATCACTAATTTATCTTCCACTGCCTCCCCAGTTATCTAAATCTCCTTCAAGCACACCAGGAATTCTGTCCACTTCATCCAGGAGACAGCTTTTTAAGGACTGTCTAACCTGTTCCACTCTGGGCTGACATACAGCTGTCTTCCTAGAATTTTTTTTTCACCAACATCTTAGGGGTTCCCTTTGCACTCTCTTGAGTTAGAATTCCCTTCCTCGTGGATCCTATGACTTTCTCTTCCTTGATCTGACTTCCTGAGACAAGGTACATGGAAGGAAAATTTTGAGACCTTCCTTGAATATCTAAATGTGTCTTTATTCTACCCTGGTATCGTTTGATAGTTTTTCTGGGCAGAGATTCTGGGCTGGAAATGTTTTTCCATCATAATTTTGAACATTATACCATTGCCCTCTAATGTTAAATTGACTCCTGATCCTAATGTAATAAGTAAATACCTTATTAAATATCACAATATTTAATTTTTCTCTTCTTTTAGTCCCTAATATTTTGAGATTTTACCAGGATGTGCCCCATGTTGGTTTTTTTTCTTCCACTGTCCTAAGTACACTGTGGACTCTCCAGCTGGAAAATTCATGTCCTTTAACTGTGGGAAGTTTTCTATATTGTTTCTATGATGATCCCCTCTGGGAAACAATGTTTCTCAGAACGGTGGAATGGAGAGTCTTAGTTCCAGTAGGGCAAAACCATTTTTTAAAAATTCATCTTTATGTTGCCAGCACTTTATCAATAGCACTGGAAATTAGCTAAAGTGGTGCTTAACTATTGTTACTTAACTGAACACTACTGAGATGTTTCTTACAAAGCTTAAGTCTTAGGATTTATATTTATGACCATGTTTCTCACATTTCTCAGCAAAGGCACAAGATGATCACAGTATTGAGTGATTTGCTTTGTTGGGGATCCTTTGTTCCTTCTGAGGGTTCAGCCAAGCCAGATTTCAGGCTGACTACCTATTAATATGAATCTTCTCCAATTTCCATTGGAGTATTCCTCCACTAACTCATCGTTCTCACTCTTTCCACATCTATGCTGGATTTTCCATGCTGGGGGTGGGGAAAAGTGGCTGTCAAGGAAGGAGGCAGGACATGAGTGAACCAGCTTCCTGCTGAGTTAATGGAAGCTTTTCCTGCGTGCCCTGCCCTGCCCTTAGAAAGAACTGCCTGGGAGAGACTGGAGCCAAGTGTAAGGCCGGAAAAGATGTACAAACCTGTCAGGAAAATCCAAAGGAATGAAGGTTAAGTGCAGACATTGCTGAATTCAAATGGAAATCTTCTGGAATGCTTTTGAGGGATAGTTTATCTTTTAGCTCAAGATTCAAGTTTGAAATGGTTATGGAGAAGAATATTCAAATAACTTCTTTAAAACTGAATGACAAATATCATTCTCACCCCTAAAACTCTGCACTTACTTTCAGAATTGGTAATAAATAAGACATCTGGAAGGAACTGAACAGAAGTATTTTTGAAGAATTTTGGGAGCTAGGCATACTTTTCTGCAAATGAACAGCAGGCTCTGTTTTCAAAAGTATTCTTTAATATTTAAAGAGACAGCCAAGGACATGCCTCCCATTCTCTTCTCCTTAGGTTACCTTCATCAACCACAAACTTTTTTTAAAAATAGATTTTATTCCCTTAGAGCAGTTTTAGGTTCACAGCAAAATTGAATGAAGGTGTAAAGATATCCCATATATGCCTTAGGCCCCCACACATTCATAGTCTTCCCCATTATCAACATCCCCCAAACAGAGTAGCACCTTTGTTATGACTGATGAACTTGTTTGACCCAGCATATCTCCCAAAGTCCATAGTTTATATTAGGGTTTGCTCTGGGTGTTAACTGTTCTATGGGCTGGGACAAATGTATAATGACATGTACCCACCACTGCAGTATCATTCAGAACCGTTTCACTGCCCTAGGAATCCTCTGTGCTCCACCAATTCATTCTTCCCTCCTCCTATAACCCCTGACAACTGCTCATCTTTTTACAGTCTCCATAGTTTTGCCTTTTCCGGAATGTCATAGAGTTGGAATCATGCACTATGTAGCCTTTTAAAATTGGCTTCTTTCACTTAACTAATATACATTTAAGATTCCTGCATGTCTTTTCACGGCTTGATAGCTCATTTTAGTGCTGAATAATGTTCCATTGTTGGAGTGTACCAGTTTATTCACCTATTGAAGGACATTTTGGTTGCTTCCAAGTTTTGGAAATTATGAATAAAGCTACTATAAACATCTGTGTGCAATTTTTTTTCTGTGGACATAAGTTTTTAACTCCTTTGGGTAAATACCAAGGAATATGATGGCCGGATCATATGGTGAGAGTGTAATTAGTTTTGTAGAAAACTGTCAAGCTGACCTCCAAAGTGACTGTACCATTTTGCATGAACCTTCAATGAATGAGAGTTCCTGTTGCTTCCCATCCTTGGCAGAATTAGGTGTTGTTAATGTTCTGGATTTTGGCCATGCTAATAAGTGTGCAATGGTACCTCATTGTTGTTTTAATTTGCATTTCCCTGATGACATATGATGTGGAACATCTTTTCATATGCTTATTTGCCATCTGTATATCTCCTTTGGTGAAGGTTATACCAAATCAGGGTACGTCTTTGAGTTGTCTATTTTCTTATTATTGACTTTCAGCAACTACAACTTTTACCTTATGTCTTTGGGGACAACTTCCCATGGAGTTAGGTCATTTCTGAGATTCAGACCATAAAAAGAAAGAGGAAGATTTAAAACAAACCAACTTTTGAAAGGTCTGGTTTAGTTTAATGGTGGAGAGGTCACCCCATAAAGATTTGCTGATTGCTTTAACTTAGTCCTCAAGAATCATCAAAGAAGGGTAACCAAGAACCATCTTTTTCCTATTTCCTCTTTCTACAGAAGCCCTCCGAGAATCATGGATCCCAATGGCCTTCAACTGAGTTTTGCTCAGTTCATCTCCACAAATGTTGATAACTCAGCTGGCCTTGCTGTTGCTGTGTCCCCTGTTCACTGCTTGCTTGCGCACGAGATAGTGTGGAGGAAACACGGAGAAGAGCTCTGGAATGTTTTCTGTAGTTCAAGGGAGTTATAGAGATCTACTTCCAATCTACTTGTTTTGCTCCTCACATCTACAGATGGCTTTGAGAGCATCCACTCTGGGCATGGTCCTGTATTGTTCCCCATGGGAGGAGTATAAAAGGTGAGTGGCAGTGATTTTAAGGAAGTTCTTGTGAAATCAAACGATGGAAGGCTGACACAACAGATCCATGTGAGTGGACAGTCACAAACACGTACAATATCTGAATGGACCGAGCTCTTTCAGGGAGAGTCCTCCAAGATTTGGTTGAAATTTTATCCCAATCTGCTTCCCCCCAGTTGTGCCCTGCCTTGACTCTTGTTGAGTGTAGTGCCGTGAGTTTGTATTTTACTTGCAGGGAGTGCCCTTCTTAGGGAATGGGCTGCCTTGCGCCACAAGTGTGGGCTTTTCTTCCCAGAGCCTTTGTTGTCATCATCTCTGATCCATGAATGGTTCAGTGAAACTGATGTTATTGTGAATTGTGTTATTTCCTCTGCATGACCCTTCTGAAATACTGCTTTTAGCGACTACTCTCATACCATTTCATTGCTCAAGAAAGCACTTGTGATTTTGGTTAAGTTTCCAAACTTAAAGATGGTCATTATGTTTCCATCACTTTATACATTTACTTGTAGACCAAAAAATACAGTGCTGCAGGTCAGCATGATACCTTTGGTCAGCTGCCTGAGGTCCTGGCTAACCCTGGAAGCTCTGCAGCTGCAGGAGTACGAAGCAAGGGAATTCCCCTGAAGGCAAGATGAAGTCCATCTGGCCTTCCTCTGCCCCGTACCTGGCCCAGTGCCTTGCACATAGTAGATGCTCAATAAATATTTGTACACTGAAAGAGAGCAAAGAGCAAATGCAATGTAATAATTCTCTTGCAGTCTCTAAAAATATTCCTCTGTGCAGCAGCTTCTGACGTAGATGGTATTTAACAGACACCCGTATGTACAAGGCTTTGTGTTTCAAATTTGTTAATTGATTCAATACCCATAACCATCCTGTGAGCTGACTTACAAATTCAAATCTAGCAGTTAGAATTTTCTCAGCAGACTTGAGGAGAATATGTTTGTCCCAAACTTCTAGTCTAGTATCAGATTTCATCTATGAAAACTCAGGCCTGGTTGGGGCAAAAATTCCTTGGTAGCTTGACTTCAGCTTCCTGGATACTCAGCACATTTCCCTCTTGCAGTCTAACATCAGAGGCAGTTCTCTCATAGTCCGAGAAGTGTCTGGCTTCTCTGGTTTCCATGTACTATATTTCAAAGTTAAGAACATATATATATTGTAAAAGTAGTATGTTTTGCAAAACATTCAACTAATGCAGAAGCATATTTAAATAAAGACATAAAATGCTTGCTTCTTTCTCTCTTCTCTAGACTTTAACTGTGAAATTTATGCACCAGAGGTAGCTGCCACTTGTCATTATCAGTTTGGGGTGTTTTCCCGTATATTTTCTGAGCCTTGTTCTAGGATCATATTATTCATATTGTTTTGCAACCTTAGTGTTTTTTATTTAACAGTATAATGTGGACCTCTTCCATGGCAGAAAATTTAATTTAACTAATTTTTTTAGTGGCTTCAAAGCAATGACTATCAACAAATAGCATTTATTGAGTGTGTGGAGGAACCACTATTGAGTATTATTTAATTTTATTATCACAAAAGCCATTCGAAGTAGGAAATTTTGTCCACTTTTATTTTTATATGAGTAAATTGAGCACTTTTTTATTTATCATAATTCATTTAACTAGTCTCTAATAAGGCACATGCAATCAAATATATATATGTATATGTTATCTGCAATGAGCATCTGTGGGGTAAAATCCTAGATTCATTTTTTTCCCATGCCTATTTTTGACAGCTCGCTATGTACCAGGAAGTGTTCTGGCATGACTAATACTGTGTTGAAGACAAACAGGGATCCTGTCTCAATGGTACTTACATGCTAGTGGATAAACAGATAATAATTAGACAGATACCTATCATGATATATATATATATTTATATATATGTCAGATAATGGTGTATACTAAGAATAAAAAGGAGAGTGATAGCATGGCTATTTCAGAAAAGGTGGTGAGGGACAGTTTCTCTGAGGGACCTGAACGCTCAGTGAACATCTGAGCTCCTACAGCACATTGAGGGAGAGAACATTCTAGAACAGCAGGCACAAAGGCCCCATCTGAGATGAAAATGATTCTGGTATGTTCAAGGAGAGAAAGGAATATCTAAGATGACTCCTAGGTTTGGGGACTTGAGGAAAATGCTAAGTGGTAGGGCCCTTTATTGAGACCCGGTGAGAGGGAGGAGGGGCAGGAGGGGGAGGTTGAGAGTGGGGGAAGGGAAGAAGAGACCTAGTGTGCACTGAGGTTTGCTGTGTCTATCACCCATCCAGGGGAGGTGTTCAGGAAGGAGCCTGGGGCACAGAGGAGCTGTCAGGGCTGGACACCAATTTGGGACGTCAGGGGCCTTTGGGACGTGTTAAGGGTCGGGGGAAGTAAGGGAAGCAGGGAATGATTTTCCTGAGTCAAGGACATGCAAACATGTTTCTAAATGTCATATTATTATTGAAAAGGTTTAGTGAATTTCCACTTCTCAATACCCCAGGAGAAGGCAGGACTCCCATTTCCAGGGTGAAAAATAAGCTTTTTGAATGTGTATTTATTTAACTATAAATAAAATTGAGCCAATTTCTAGTATTTTATTGGCACTTGGCTCTTTTTTGTTTTAATCCTGTGAGTCACCTGTTGGTGTCTTTTGCCCTTATCATTGGTTCTTAAGATTTATCTCATGATTTGTTGATTTATAAGATATATAAATTTCATTGATTTGTTAGAGTTCTTAGAATATTTGTATTTAAGAATTTAGTCCTATGTCAAATGTTCTACAGTTTTTTCTTTTGATTTTTAAAGTGTTTTTTTTCAGGTCAGAAGATTAAATTATGTAATTAAATTTGATAACATATTTTCCTTTATAGCATCTGAGATTTCGTTAATACTTAGGTCTTTTGTAATCTAAGATGACAACCAGATTCTCTCAGGTATGGCCGGTTTTGTTTTATTTTCTTGAAATTCTTTTAAAGTTTCTAGTTTATCTTTGGTTTCTATTTTCATCGCGAGCTATTCAGGGAATGTATTCACAGAACTAACCTCTTTGCAAGCTCATTTTGCAACAGTGTTGCTGCTGGGGAAACGGGGCAGAGGTAAATGGCTTGGAGCAAGCTTTTGGTTGAGGCTAGAGCTGGATACACAATAGGTAGATAACACACCTTTGTTGAAGGATTATACTGCTGGCTTTTTTCTTAACTCGGTGGGGTAGAGCTCTTCACATGTTGGCTGCCAAGTACTTTCCAGATGTTATCATTTGCACAGACCTAAGATTTCCTGCAGGAGAAAGAGGCTGGGGATGAGGCCAGGGCTAGCCTGGCCAGAGCTGGAGGAAATGTGGGTCCACCTCATGCAGGAGAACTCAGTGACTGGAGAAGTTGAAACCCAGTTTCTACCGGGGAGCTAGATCTCTTTGAGGTAGGATTTGTTACTTTAAACCAACCATATTGTATGCAAAATATATTTTGAGGTGCAAACTGGGAGCCAGCTGGGAGGCCTGCTGTGGTCTCTTTTTCTTGTCACTTTCTGCCATCTACTGGCCACAGCACAAATTACTCCAGAATTATTTCAGATTAGCCCCATGAGCAGGGCGATTTTTAGTCCCGTCCTTTCTCAATCTGAAATGTAATTTCGCAGGTAGGTTGTGCTGGAATTCAGTGGGCTCCAAAATTTATCTCTCTCCAGATCACAGTCATGAGGGGACTGAATTATCTGAGCAATCACTTTATAATTTTTGTTTCTTTGTCTGAGAGGCAGTATTTGAATTCTGACCACCTGAGTTAAATTTAAATCTAGGTTCTCTGACTTATCGTATGTGACAGTGGGCAAGAAGCTCAACCTCTGGGTGCCTCAGTTTCCTTATTGGTAACAGGGGGATAATACTAGACCTTGCCTCGTAGGGTTTTGACTCAGATGACTTAAGTTCTCAAATGTAAAGCATAGTATCTACCCCCTCATAGCACTTGATAAATGTTTCTATTATTTGTTTGAAATTTGCCTAAGAATTTAGGCAGACATTACTTTAGAACACAGAACATTCGATAAATTAGAACCTATGCCCAATATTTGTATAGTGATTTTGTTTCTAGACTGCTCCCATTTTAACTCTTCAGACTCAGCTCAAAAGCAGTGGCTTCTATTCTGGAGCCTTTCTTAACCCCTCCTTCTGGAATAATCCATCCTTCCTCTGGGCTCCCATCCCACAGGATCTGGGCCTTTCTTAGACTATAATTTTCACCTTGGAATATAGACCTGTCTTGCCTTGTACACTGCCTGGGTCCCTGAGGCAAAGAGGCAGTTTGATTCCATCCTTGTGTCTCTCACAGTCTTTCTCACAATAGGATGTTATTGAGCAACTGCTCAATAAATATTTGTTGAAAGGATAAATGAATCATCTCATCTGATTCCCCTCAGGAATCCTGAGTCAGGTAGATCAGATATGAATTGTGCCCATTCTATAGAGAGGGAATTGCGAGGCTTGCCCCAAATGAAATGGGGTGGTATTGCTGGGACTAGGATTCAATGTAACTAGGTAAGCTGGGGACTCTGACATGAAGCAAGGGTCACCCTCAGCCCAAATGCAATGGAGCTACATCCTGAAGACTGATTTTGGTGGGAGTAGGAAGAAAGGTTCACATCTGAAGCTGTCCCTCTCCTGTCATACTTCATCCCAGTCCCGGTGAACTGTATTCCTGTCATAGCTGAGGCCAAGTTCCTCATGTCTGCTGTCCCACCACGGACTGCCAGTCTCACTTGTTCTCAAATGACTTGTGCTTTGGGTCTAGATGTCAAAATATTGATTCCCCAAATTGACATAACTATCAAGAGGCCCATCAGAACAGCCCTGTTACTTTTTATTAAGTACAAAGATCCTGGCTCCAGGGGCCATGAGGGCATCTCTACTCTGTCATTCTCCATCACTCCTTTATGCTTTATTCCTGCAGGCCAAATGAGTGTCTCTGGTAATTTTTAATATTCATTCAGCAAATGCCTATTGAGCCCCTACTCTGGGCTGTACGTCGTGGAGGGAGCACAGGGAAGATATGGTCCCTGTCTTTTCACTTACATCCAAGTGGAAAGCCAGTTGCACATATGAGCAAATGATATCAGTTGCTTGGGAGGGTTTTACTAAAACTGGGTTTGTTATTTAATGCATTTCGTGGAGGTCTCTGCAGAACTCAACAAAAATATTTTTTTCAGGCAGATCTCTGGGTAATTTCAGACCTGAAATCTTGGCCAAGGAATTTTCTTTCAGGTCTTTCTTGTTTTTAGGTTCACTCTTGCATTTTTTCATAAAAAGTGACCAAGTATCAAGAAAAAGTAACCCTTTCCCACACCCGTGGCTACTGACTGGTCATTACCCCAAAGAGAAAGCCCCCAGCTGAGAATAAACATAGTACATATTTATATTCTAAGTTCGAGGAAACACCCCTCCCTTGTGCCAGACACCCTGCCTCAGGCTTGTGGGGAGGTGAGGCTGCACAGGCGAAGCAGATTCCGGTAACCCAGGAGTGGAGGCACCACATGACAGTGATAGGACCCAGGGAGATGCTGTTGTCCCTCTGGGTCCTGAGGCTGCTAGAGAAATTGGCCTATCTCCCCCCCAAACATCATAGCCACAGATGCAATGTGGGACTCTGTGGGCCCCACCAACAGACACTGTAAATGGCAGCAGTGAAGCTGTGCCAGCCCTGGGGTGTGGAGGAGATGGGACAGAGGAAATGGAGGGTTTCTGTCTGTGTTTAGCTCACTCACAGAGACAGACTCTGACCTCCAGTTCCCTGGATCCTCATGGCTGATTGTAGCCTGTCCAAGCAAATGAGATCAGACCAGACCACAACTATGACATACCTTCTCCCCGCTCGCCCTTATCGACAAGAATCTCATGATTTTCATGAGCTTAGCAAGGAGACAGAGCTATGAGTAAAGAGCAGCCAAGATAGGAATACCCAAAGTTCCTGGATCATGATGGATTTCTAGGCCGGAACAGTGTAAGTAGTCTGCTCTCAGCAGAGCAAGGTCAAAAAATGAAAGTGATTCTTGCTTTGTGTATATCTGGTATGACTCTATGATTCCTACTTGCCACAGTGTTGTATTCCATGCCACCTTAGGGACATGAAGGTGAGACTGTGGCTGTGAGTCAGAGTAGAAACTGCTCTGGCTTTGGAGGCAGACAGAGAGCTTTTGAATCTGCCATACTAGCTTTCTAGCCTTTATTCACCTCTCTGCATCTGTTTCCTCATCTGAAAAATGGGAATAATCCCTCTTAAAGTTATTATAAGGTTAAAAAATGTATGTAAGGCATGGAGCATATAAAGTATTATTATTATGAAGAATAAATTGTCCTGTCCTCAAGGAACTGATGGTCTAGTTTGGACAGCTAAGATGATTGCAGTAATAATCACAGTGATGTGGCCTGTAAGAAACAACACATTTGCATGTCAGACAGGCGTCTGAAGTAAGGAGAGAGGCAGCCCCCCATATTCTCTTACATCTGCTCAGCTTTTTTCAACATCAATGTATTAAGCATCTACCAGGCTTCAGACTATATTGTTAAAGACGTTCAGTTCACAGGTTCCAGAGTCAGAAAGACCTGGGTTTGAATCCCATCTCTGCCCCTTACTAGAGGTGTGACTTTGGGCAGTGACCTAACAAACACTCTGGGTTTGTTTTCTCATTTATGGAGAAAGGTTTTTAACAGTACCTGCCTCACAGGTTCCTGTGAGGAATAAATGATCTAATGCATGTTAAGGACGTAGCCAATTCCTTGGTGCGTTCTCAGTGCTGAACAAATTTTACAGCTGCTGTGATCAACATGCCCACCACCCTCATCATCACCACCACCACGTCCCTGTGTTTAGGGTTAGGGATTTTAAAACACCAAATAAGATACATTTTCTGCGTTTCACACACCTCAGAGTTCAGTAGATCCTGGGACCATTTCTGATCTTTGAAGCCCTTGATAGGTGATCCAGACGGAATATAATCTATTTTTCAAGAAAGGGAAAACATTATGCTTGAGAAGTCTGTAATACTTTGACCTAGGAGAGGACATTTACTTTCAACCAAGTACACCCACTTCGGGAATGTGCTTCCCTAGCTATCCTGAAATTGGGACAGAGATTTGTGTCTTTACTGGTTTTTACAGGAATAAAACCTATTTGCTCAGTCTTTATAATTATGCAAA